TTGGACACAGATTGCTCTGCAGTTGACTCCTGAACTCTGCTTCAGACAAGAAGAGTAAGGTAAGCTGATGGGAGAGTTTCTGTCATTGATGCCCCACAGTGTAGACACAGCAATAGCTCGACCTAAGGTATGTTGTCTCCAGCTATGTTATTCATGTAGCTACAATTGAGTGCCTTAGATCAACTTTCTGCAGTAATGTAGACATAGGCATACTCTGGAAAGGGTGAGAGGCGCTGATGGAATTAATCACATATCTGGCACAATGAATCAACAGAATTTCAATCAATTTTATACTGGCAGCTAACTGAATCAGCAAAGTCTTGCCACCCTTTTATACTCTATTTTAGATTTTGCATGCTCTATGCATTGTAGAAAACAAGATTCTAGAGTATACAAAATGTGAATTAAATGTGGAGACTAGTAAACCATCTGACTATAAAATATTTCACCATATATTGTTTCTGAAAATCAGGTTATACACAGTGAGCGAGAGAGAATTTTTAGTGTTACATGTGTTGTTGTTATTTAGTTATATTACAGTAGTACCTAATCTGAATTAGTGATAGAAATGTAGCCTTGTTAGTCTGGTGTAGCTGAAACAAAATACAGGACTATGTAGCACTTTAAAGACTAACAAGATGAGCTTTCGCGGGCCAGACCCACTTCCTCAGATCAAATAGTGGAAGAAAATAGTCACAACCATATATACTAAAGGATACAATTAAAAAAAAGTGAACACATATTAAAAGGACAAATCACATTTCAGAACAGAAGGGGGATGCGGGGGCAGGGGGGAAGGAAGGAAGGTAAGTGTCTGTGAATTGATGATATTAGAGGTGGGGAGAGTGGGATTAGACACCACCCTCTACATGCACAATTTTGGTCCCAGCGTGCATCAGTAGTATAACTCAGAAAGTAAAGTAGCGCAGGCACTGTGGGATAGCTAATCCACAGTGCATCAGTCTCAAAGTTGACAGCAGTCTCCCTTACGGGGACATGCTACTTCAAACTATGCTGAATTCTTCCCCGCAGTGGGGACACAGATCTTTTACTTGGCAAAATTGGGTGACCAGAAATTGACCTTTATAGATTCAACTTTATTTTATAGTGTAGATATGGCCTAACTACCAGGTTTATTAGCTAAGAAAAAAGAATGAGAGGTAAAAGCAGGTAAAATATAATTATAGGTAAATCAGTTTGTAACTTCAAATAACAGCAGTGATGTAATAAACTGCCATTTCCCCAAAAGTCTTTTCCAAGGCTACCAAGAATAAAATGCTTTAGTAAGGCATTTGATACAGTACCACATGGGGAATTATTGGTTAAATTGGAAAAGATAGGGATTAATATGAAAGTTGAGAGGTGGATAAGCAACTGGTTAAAGGGGAGACTACAGCGGGTCATATTGAAAGGTGAACTGTCAGGTTGGAGGAAGGTTACTAGCGGAGTTCCTCAGGGATCAGTTTTGGAGCCAATTTTATTTAATCTTTTTATTGCTGATCTTGGCACCAAAAGTGGAAGTGTCCGAATAAAATTTGCGGATGACACAAAGTTGGGAGCTATTGCCAATTCAGAAAAGGATCGGGATATCATACAGGAAGATCTGGATGATCTTGTAAATTGGAGTGATAGCAATAGGATGAAATTTAATAGTGAGAAGTGTAAGGTTATGCATTTAGGGATTAATAACAAGAATTTTAGTTATAAGCTGGGGACACATCAGTTGGAAGTAACGGAGGAAGAGAAGGACCTCGGAGTCCTGGTTGATTATAGAATGACTATGAGCCGCCATTGTGACATGGCCGTCAAAAAGGCTAATACGATCTTGGGATGTATTAGGCGAGGTATTTCCAGTAGGGATAAGGAGGTGTTAGTGCCATTATACAAGGCACTGGTGAGACCCCATTTGGAATACTGTGTGCAGTTCTGGTCTCCCATGTTTAAGAAGGATGAATTCAAACTGGAACAGGTACAAAGAAGAGCCACTAGGATGATCCGAGGAATGGAAAACCTGTCTTATGAAAGGAGACTCAAGGAGCTTGGCTTGTTTACTTTAACCAAAAGAAGGCTGAGGGGGGACATGATTGCACTTTTTAAATATATTAGAGGGATAAATACCAGGGAGGGAGAGGAATTATTTAAGATTAATACCAATGTGGACACAAGAACAAATGGATATAAGCTGGCTAGTAGGAAGTTTAGACTTGAGATTAGACGAAGGTTTCTAACCATTAGAGGAGTGAAGTTCTGGAACGGCCTTCCAAGGGAAGTAGTGGGGGTGAGGTTCTGGAATGATTATAGTCATTCTATAATCAGTGTCCCATAATAAAGGGAAGTAGTGGGGGCAAAAGATCTATCTGGTTTCAAGATTAAACTAGATGGGTTTATGAAGGGGATGGTTTGATGAGATAGCATGATCTTGGTAACTAATTGACCATTCATTATCAGTGGGAATAGGTCAATGGAGGAATGATAGGAGTTACTATAGAGAACTTTCTGTGTGTCTGGCTGATGAGTCTTGCCCACATGCTCAGGGTTTAGCTGATCGCCATATTTGGGGTCGGGAAGGAATTTTCCTCCAGGGTGGATTGGCAGAGGCCCTGGAGGTTTTTTGCCGTCCTCTGTAGCATGGGGTACGGATCACAGCTAGAGGATTCTCTGCATCTTGGGGTCTTCAAGTATTTGAAAGCTTCAATATCTGAGATATAGGTGAGAGGATTATTCTGGGAGGGGTGGGTGAGATTCTGTGGCCTGCACTGTGCAGGGGGTCAGACTAGATGATCATAATGGTCCCTTCTGACCTTCAAGTCTATGAGTCTAACTCTGGGCATGTCTATCTTCTCATTCAATTTTCTGCTCTATTAGGCTACGTCTATACTGTGGAGCTATTTCAAATAGCTATTCTATGTCTTTAAAGCAGCCCATTATTTTGAAATAGATTTTGAAATAACAGATGTGCTATTCCGGCATCTCTCTAACCCTCGTTCAGGGTTAAGGGACGATTGGAATAGCACTTTATAATTTTGAAATAAGCTATTTTGAAATTACCTTGAAATAAGCTATGCTAATTGCTTATTTTGTATGCAAGGGTGTAGATACACCCTTAGAATTCTAACAGTCCAGAGATGAAAGATATGTTCTTGAATGCATATTTATAGCTCTTTTTTATACAGAATGCTAGCTGATAATACCCACGCGATTTTTCTTCTTTGACTGATAGTAAGGATTCCATTCATAATCTTTGTCCTCACAAACAATGACCACTTGTTTTGAAATTAGCATTTTCAGATAAAGTCCTTAAGTTCTTCATTAGCATTTCATAAGATTTCTTTGATGGATAATTTAGTTACAGTAAAAGTTTGCTGTTAATTATAACAGGATGAGATAAGTGAGACTGATACAGTAATGATCCATTAGTTTTCATGAAGTTTAAACATTTGAATACACAGTTATACATTCAATATTTAGTTTGATCTATCCTAATAGCAAGTAGGTTGGCCTGAATACATTCCTACATCTAACAATCGCTTTGATCTTGACTAACACAAAAGTGTGGTATGTCCTGTGGTTGTTGGTAAGAATCATCTTAAGGTTACAGCCTATACTGGAACAGGATACTAAACTCCGAGAGGATCTGGGAGACAGACCCATAGTCTCCTATAGACAACCACCTAACCTCAAGATGATTCTTACCAACAACCACAGGACATACCACACTTTTGTGTTAGTCAAGATCAAAGCGATTGTTAGATGTAGGAATGTATTCAGGCCAACCTACTTGCTATTAGGATAGATCAAACTAAATATTGAATGTATAACTGTGTATTCAAATGTTTAAACTTCATGAAAACTAATGGATCATTACTGTATCAGTCTCACTTATCTCATCCTGTTATAATTAACAGCAAACTTTTACTGTAACTAAATTATCCATCAAAGAAATCTTATGAAATGCTAATGAAGAACTTAAGGACTTTATCTGAAAATGCTAATTTCAAAACAAGTGGTCATTGTTTGTGAGGACAAAGATTATGAATGGAATCCTTACTATCAGTCAAAGAAGAAAAATCGCGTGGGTATTATCAGCTAGCATTCTGTATAAAAAAGAGCTATAAATATGCATTCAAGAACATATCTTTCATCTCTGGACTGTTAGAATTCTAAGGGTGTATCTACACCCTTGCATACAAAATAAGCAATTAGTCCCGTCCCTCCATCCCCCTTCTGTTCTGAAATTTGATTTGTCCTTTTCATATGTGTTCATTTTTTTAATTGTATCCTTTGGTATATATGGTTGTGCCAATTTTCTTCCACTATTTGATCTGAGGAAGTGGGTCTAGCCCATGAAAGCTCATCACCTATTAAACCATCTTGTTAGTCTTTAAAGTGCTACACAGTCCTGTTTTTTGTTTCAGCTGCACCAGACTAACACGGCTACATTTCTACCACAAGTGAATTGGGCTGTTGCTCTGATTTAATCTGGTTTACCAGCAACACCGTGCCTATTCAGAAGACAGGGGAAAATGTTGATGCCAAGTCAAAAAAATCCAGAGCGGTAGCAGACAGTTTGAAAACTTGAAGGACAGAATGAAAAGTGGGGACACCAGAAAAAGCAAGAGATGAGGCATATCATATATTTATCAGAAGCCCTGATATGGAAACTGCCAAAATCCAAGATTTTCACGTTCAGATCTACTAAGACTAAAAGAGCAATATAAGTCAAGTTGTCTTTGTAGCATTTAGAATCACGTTTATCATTTCCAGTTATTTCCTTTTGTATGAACCAAGAACAGAATAGAGTCCTAGATATCCATTTGTAATTTTGAGTTTAAGTACATACTGTAGAAGGTTTTTCTATTGTAGAAGCCTGTGTTGCTTAAGATTGTGAACATTTTTGTTACTAATACATTCTAATTTTTATGCAAGTACAGATTAATATTGTAAGAAAATTTAATAAACTATAAAATATATTTTGATATCATGTTTTCTGATGCATTTAGATGTCGTCAAATAGATTGACACCACCTGCTGATAAAGAGACTTGGAACAATTGCTTGCCACCTATAGCTTTACCTATGTCATCAACAGCTGGAATCTCATCATCACACAATAAATTATTGAAATACCGAAGATTAAAGGAACAGCAAAAGACACTTAATCAGATAGTGTGAGTTTTATATAATCTATGTATACGTTTTAGAGATTTATGTCTCAGTCTGTATTTGAGTCCATTTGTTCAAGAGCTCCTCCTAAGCGGTAATAGCTAGGACCACCAATTTTGGTATGCAGCTTCTTTTTCTTGTAACTTAAAACAAGGTCAGGATTTGCTTGTGCCAGGAAAGGGGCTGTTTCCTTAACATGGAAAAGGAGGGGCTATTTAGAGGGACCAATTCTGAGAGTGACCGCTGGGGGCAGCAAGCCTACAAGGGAGAGCCATCCTGTTGAGTATCCACTGGGGGCAACCATACCACCAAGGGAGTGGCCAGCAGAGCTGCTGCTCTGCCATCTTGACTGCCAGCACATTGGGTAAATAGCACCCCTGCCCCAAACACTTCCCCCATTCTGGCCTATGGCTGCGACATCGGAGATGGGGAGAGAAAAAGACCCTTGGTAGCTGGGGGAGAGAAAAGGTCCTTGGAGGCTGGGGGAGGAGGGGATGGGACTGGGAAGAGAGAAAAGGCCTGTGCTGGATTGGACCCTCTACCCTGAGCCCCTCCTCACCTCAACCCTCATTCTCGCACCCCCCAACCTCTCGTACTGCCTTCCCCCACATCTTCAAGACCCTGCCCTGATTCCTGCACCCCCCCACGCCACCAGCTCCCTGTCCTGAAGGACCTGAGCAGCACCAGATAAGTTTTCTAGTTCCATCAAGTTGAGAGGTTTTAACAATCTCTTTCTTAGAGTTTTATACTGCCACCCATTACTATGGTAGCAAAGTGCCTTACATATAAAATCAATAGCAAGATCTCTAATGGTCTTCTTCATGGAGTCTCTCTGATACCTCTCCCTTTACATGGCCAAAACTCTGTTTGGGGTAATTTTAGGGGGACAGTGTAGAGGGACAGTGTTGGAAATGAGTGTCCCTTATGATGGTAAGGTTTTCTCAAAAAGGAAGGTTCCTTTGCAATTTTAACTGAAGATGGTCAGACTCTGGATTAGCCTGAATTCCTCTAGAAGATTGCTCTATTACTGGGTGCCCTCAGTAGATAAAAATGTGTCCCCAGCTCTTGCATGCTTCGATTAGGCCTTAGTGATTTGCATTGTCCCAGAGGAGCACCCTGTTATGGTGATTCATAGAGTGACATATATTAATATTATGCAAATACAGTGCTATACAAGCCCTGTGTATTAATAAGCATTTAAAAACATTAGGGTAACTTTATGTATTTTTAATAGGTGTGACTAGTAACTAAATTAACACAGACATCTATTGCTAAGGGTTTTTTAAAAAAATATTAATTGCAACTATCTTGTAAATTACTATATTTCTTGTTCTGGAACTTTTTTGTGTGTGTGATTGCCCTGTTGATATAAATTCAAGGATTATGCTTTAGCACATGCTTAACTTAGTATGTGAGTCCCATTCATGTCAGTGATACTACTAGAATGTTTAAAGTTAAGCACATGTGTAAGTCTTTGTGGGATTGTAGTCATGCTGGGATCAGATGTGGTAAAGGTATGCAATTGCATGGATAACCCTAGAACACAGGTACATACATAGAATGTATATAAATACACACAATATTTCCATTTGATTATGGCTGAGATATGGGTGTCTCATTATATAAAGAGAGAGCAAATTGGAAAATCTTACTGTATAGAGTTGAAATAGTTGGTAAACATGAAAAAGGAATTTGTAGCACTTTATAATAACTCTATAATATTATGCTTAAAATTTTATTTAAAAGTTTTAACACTTTTTCCAACTATAATTCAGAATTGACCGGGCTTTAAAAAATTATAAAGCAACCATGGAAGAAAAGTATCGGAGAGGTCCCACGCCTCCTGAGCCAGAACTACCTTCTACTGTGAGTTTTTAATCCCTTTCAGCTGTAATGTTTACTTTTGATCACATTGTCTTTGATTCTTGTTGATGATGTATTTAGTCTCTTATCTGCAAATATTAACAAAGTAGAGGCCAATCCTGCACTAAGTCATAAATAACTTTATTCGTGTGAAAATGTCTCAGAAGGTTAGGTGTATTAGTCTGTAACTTCAAAAACAATGGGTAGTTCTGTGGCACGTTAGAGTCTAACAAAAATATATAGTACTGTATCATGAGCTTTTGTGTGTAAAACCTTGTTCATCAGATGAACTGGAATGGAAATAACAGAAACCAAGATTAATATAATAGCAAAAAAGTATCTGTCAATTGTAGGACCCATGCTAATGAGCTAATTAAGTGGGCTGGAAGTGTCTGATTTTTAGATTTTTATGTAAAAAAGCAGTTATTAAAGGCAGAGGAGATTGATTTTATAATGTGATATTCAGTTAATTGTCTTTGTTCAAGCTCAGGGTAACAGCATTAAATTTGTAGATGAATACCAAGTCCACATTTTCTCTCTGTAATTGGCTGGTGAAATTCCTTTGTAGAAGAACGGCTACTTTTAAATCCATGGTTGAGTTACCAGGCAGATTAAAATGTTCTCCTACAGGTTTGTGTGTGTTACCATTTCTGATTTGTGCCCATTCATTCTTAGTTGTAGAGACTGCCCCATTTAGCCAATATACATAGCAGAGGGGCATTGCTGGCACTTGATGGCATGTATCACATTAGATGGCATTATATCACATGTGCAGTTGTGTGAGCCTGATGTTGTGGTTTATGTAGTTAGGTCCTGTCAAGGCTGATTCCCCACTCTGGCATGATAAATGCAGAAGAGGGGGCTCGCAAAAGTATCCCAAAACCTTATCTCTCCAGGCTTTGGTATAAAACTCCCCTCCCCCCCAATCCTAAAAAACCTAGATTTTGGGGATGAAAATCCACTGCCACCATCAAGTGCTTTTAAACCCACAAAGAGGGGTGGACACTTGAAACCAACCCCAGGGGCACCGCAAGCTCTTTTCCCTAAAGAGCTTGAAAAAGAAAAGAAAAAATACATACTGCAGTCTGTGGCTGCTATCCTGTAGTCAGAGGCATGCAGATCCCATAGACAGATGTTTCAGGACACAGAACTGAACCAATACCAGGTTAATAAAAAAGAAAGAACTTTTATTATCAAAACAATACTCCTGTTTCAAGCATGACGACTAGATGGAAAAGTCACCAATTAATATACTCATGAGGGACTCCCATGGGCCAAAACTTAGTTACAAAGGAGCGGAAAACCCATTTCTAAATGCACAGATATCAGATTCCCATTCCCAAACCATAAAACAACAAAACCTAATGGATTTATCTAGACTTTGCCCTCCTTACAGATGGTAAAGAGTCTTTTCTTGGAGAGGGACATGTTGTCTATCCCCCTCAGTATCTGGAGAGTCAACTGGCCCAGAGACAAAGAAGGGAAAACCCAAAAATTCCTTTGTCTGTTTGAAATCCCTATCTGCATTTCTATTGTCTGACTGCTACCTGGCTAGGTACAGTAAACCCCTTAGTCCCCAGGCTACTGGCCATCCCTCATGACCATGACAGGTCCTGTGATAGATATGTGGACAGAGATGGCAACAGGTTTGTCCCAGCCTTTGTAACATAGCAATCTGTGAGGATGAGGGCAAATCGTGATGAAATCTGAAGTAGTTATCTTCTGAGCTTCCTTCATCACTCACCACTCCTGCAGCCTGCTTGTCTCAATGAAATTAAAAAAAGGGCTGCAGAAGCTCTCAGACCTACTATTGAATCTGCCAGATACACCTTTGCTTTCCTGTTGGTAAAGCAAAGAATAGCCAGCAAAGAGAGTGGGGGTAAGGGAAGAAGAGTGAATTAGTTTTTCAGTCAGTGTGGCTGAGCTTGGGAGGTGGGGTAAGAGCCTGTGGAGTAAAAGTTACCTTGTATTGTGCTGTGGCATCATCGAGGATAGTGTTCCTGACAACTTGTAGTCAATCCCCATGTGGAATTTTGGTGTAAAGAACTTCTACATCCACAGTGGCCAAGATGGTGTTTTCAGGAAAATTACTGATGCTCTGTAGTTTCTTCAAGAGGTCAGTGGGGTCTTGAAGATAGGTAGGAGTGATGGCAGCATAAGGTCTAAGGAGAGTCAATGTAGTCAGGTAATCCTGCTGTAAGCGTGCCGATGCCTGAGATGATGGGACATACAGGATTTCAAGGTTTATGGATCTTGGGTAGCAGATAGCGCCTGGTTGAGGCACTGGGGATGTGTTGTGTAGATTTGGTCCTGAGCTGTAGTAAGGAGTTTCTTTAGCGGATAGTGTAGTTTCTTTTGATATTCTTAAGTGGGATCAGAGGAAAGAAGCCTGTAGAATGTGGTGGTGATGAATTGTCTGGTAGCCTTATATTTGTAATCTGACCTATTCAATTATAATGTTAGAGTTGTTTATGAAGCTGTGGATGATATCATGTTCTGCACGGCTGAGGTTATGTGTCACATGATATTGTTTGTTCACAATGTCAGCCTGTGCACATTTGCAGAAGCAATCAATGTGAGTGTGAGTAGTTCTATTGTAGTCAATAGATAGATGTGCACATGTTTGCATGGAAGAGCTTTTCAGTAGCTATAATATTTGTTCAGCTTGTGAATCAAGATTTATACTAATATATTAGTTTTCTAATTTGGCTTCTCATTGTTTATACTTACTTTATATGACTTTTTTATTTTTATTTTTTTTACAGATGAACAGTGAGCAAAAAAAACAAAGAGTGAGTTAAATTGTTTAGTATTCTACTTTTCTGAAGAGAGATACTGCATGATTCCTGTCCTGAAATAACACAGAATTAGTATGTGTGAGAGGAATTAATAGTATGTTTAATTAGACCAATTTCTAACAGTTGCACTTGGGAAGATGTGGCTGTCATGCTGTCTAGAGTGGCTCACGACCATGAGTGCCTACCTCAGGGCAGGCTGTCAAAAACAGGATAGACATTCCAAATTGGTAGTATCTTCTATAATTAGATTTCACCAACCCAGTAACAAATGTGAATTCCTGCATCACTATCAGGGACAACTGCTGAGGAGGCAACTGCAGGGTGGGCAACACCGGTCCTCCCCCATGTCTCCTTTCTATGCCATTCCTATCTCCAAGATGGGACAACCCAGCTCTTCCCCATCCTTGTTTCACCCCCTCCCCACCTCTGGTCTGCCCCTCCCTACCTCTTTCCTACCCTGCCTCTTCCCTCAAGCCTCTTTCCCCAAACAATGCAGCCTAGGGAACCTATGGAGTCATGGTGTAGTGGAGAGGCAGCAGGGGGTTTGGCCCCCCGGCACTCGCCAGCAGCGGCAAGGGGAAACGGAGCAATGAGATCCTAGCCTGCTCTGCTTCCCTAGCTCCTGGCTTTCTTGTTTCATTCTTGCCCCACGCCCTCAAGCAATGTGGCCATCAGTCTCTTACTTCAGGTCAGTTGATACCCTAGATCCTGTATCAAAGACAATGCCTAAAGTAGGGATAATATAATATATGGAGATATACCATCTCATAGAGCTGAAAGGGACCGTGAGAGGTCATCAAGTCCAGTCCCTTGCCCTCACAGCAGGACCAAGTACCATCCCTGACAGATTGGCCCCCGATCCCTAAATGGCCTCCTCAAGGATTGAGCTCACAACTCTGGGTTTAGCAGACTAATGCTCAAATCACTGAGCTATCCCTCCCTCCTACATTGTACCCATGATCAACCAAAAGCCCAAGGACATAATGGTGTAGTTGATTAACCAATAAGCAAAAGCTTATCAGGTAATGCTATAGGCTACACGCATTCCCCCTGCTAGTAAATTTTTTAGCAGGCTGTAAAAATTGTAGATAATGAATATGCAAATAAAATGTTACCAGTCTGCCCAAAGTTTGTGAATGGGTTTGCCAGTCCACGGCATAGAAAAGGTCAGGAACCATTACTTTGGGGGATAGGATTATAATTCAGAAAGATCTGGATGAATTGGAGAAATGGTCTGAGGAATAGGGTGAAATTCAGTAAGAACAAATGCAAAGTCCTCCACTTACAAAATAGGAAACGACAGCCTAGGAGGAAATACTAAAGAAAGGGATCTAGGGGTCATAGTAGACCACAAACTAAATAGGAGTCAACAGTGTGACACATGCAAAAAAAGCAAATATAATTCTGGAGTGTATTAGCAGGAGTGTTGTAAGCAAAACACAAGGGCTGCGTCTAGACTGGCATGATTTTGCGGAAATACTTTTAACGGAAAAGTTTTTCCGTTAAAAGTATTTCCGCAAAAGCGCATCTAGATTGGCACAGATGCTTTTGCACAAAAGCATCCATGGCCAGTCTAAAGACGCGATTTTGCGCAAGAAAGCCCCGATCGCCATTTTAGCCATCGGGGCTTTTTTGCGCAAAACAGTTCTTCCCTGACTACACTGGCCCTCTTGCGCAAGTATTCTTGTGCAAGAGGGCTTTTTCCCAAGCGGGAGCGTGAAAGCATTTGTGCAAGAAGCACTGATTTTGTACATTACAAAGTCAGTGCTCTTGTGCAAATTCAAGCGGCCGGTGTAGACAGCTGGCAAGTTTTTGCGCAAAAGCGGTAGTTTTGCGCAAAATCTTGTCAGTCTAGATGCACCCAAGAAGTAATTTACTCTGTTCTATGCTGATTAGGCCTCATTTGGAGTACAGTGTCCAGTTCTGGGAACCGCATTTCAGGAAAGATATGGATAAATTGGAGATGGTCCACAGTAGAGCAAAACAAATTATTAAAGGACTAGAAAACATAATCTATGAGGAAAGGCTGAAAGAACTGGGTTTGTTTAGTTTGGAAAAGAGAAGACGGAGAGGGGACATAACTGCTTTCAAGTACCTAAAAGATTGTTACAAGGAGGAAGGAAAAAAATGTATTCTCTTTAACCTCTGATGATAAGCCAAGAAGCAATGAGCTTAAATTGCAGCTAGAGAGATTTAAGTTGGACAATAGTAAAAGCTTCCTTACCATCAGGGTGGTTAAGCACTGGAATAAATTGCCAAGAAAGGGTTGTGATTAATCAAGCTGCTTTAATATTAGAAGAGGATATCTATTTTTTTATCAAAGTCACAAAGATATGCTCCATAATCATTGGCATAAACTTGGGCAAGAAAGGGTATTTTTACACCAGCCCCTTAGTTCGAATTAGGGAGGCTAATGTAGGCATTCGAAGTTGCAAATAAAACCCGGGATTTAAATGTGAGCAGCCTTCAGTGTACTAGTAATTACTTTGAGGGGATGATAATCCCTTGGATACCTTGACTCTACTAATATAAATCTGGTTTGGAGGATTAATAATGATGATATTATGGTCCTTTCAGACCAACTATTTGTTTATGAAGAAGTGTGTGGCAAGTAATCCAATAGTTCCTATTCAGCAGCAGTGGCTGACCTCCATGCTTACTCTGGTACCTCAGTCCCTCATGAAAGGCAAGGAGAGAGAGTTACTGGTTGAAGAACTTTTAGATGAGATAACAAAGGATTATGAAATGAGCATGAAGAGATGTGTGGGTAAGAGCTACACGCTACATTATGTTAGCATTATTATTGTATGAATGTATACCTATTATAATGTATTCAAAATGGTGCATCTGAAAATCATCACTGGAAAAAGAGTATGCCCTTACTAATACTACTTGTTATCTAACCTAAAGTAATATAATTGAAGACTAAGGAGTTGGTAGTTTTCACCTCAGTTAGCAGGCTGAGTTAAAAATTATAGTGGCATCTAGAGTATGTCTAGACTACATGGCTCCGCCAATGGAGCCATGTAAACTGGTTTACCCAGCATAGGCAAAGAAATGGGGATTTAAATAATCCCTGCTTCATTAAAATAAACATGGCCACCGCGCTGTGCCAACGATCAGCTGATTCGGCACAATGCAACTGTCTAGATGCAGATCTGTTGGCTGGGGAAGACTTTGCTGACCGAACCCCTATGCCTTGTGAAACGAGGCTTACAGGATCAGTCGGCAAAGGCTTCCCCACCTGACAGATCTATGTCTAGACTGCCACACTGTGCCGTATCAGCTGATCGTCAGCACAGCGCGGCGGCCATGTTTATTTTAATGAAGCGGGGATTATTTAAATCCCCACTTCTTTGCCTCTGCTGGGTAAACTAGTTTACATGGCTCCATCGACGGAGCCATGTAGTCTAGACATACCCTTGGGCTAGGTCTAGACTGCAAGCCTCTTTCGAAAGAGGCTTTTTTGAAAGACACTTTCGAAAAAACCTCTTTCAAACAAGAGCCTGCAAGCAGTACTTTCGAAAAAGCAAGCCGCTTTTTCGAAAGAGAGCACCCAGGCAGTCTGGATGCTCTCTTTCGAAAAATCCCTGTTTGTATTCAAGAACGCCTTTTTTCGAAAGAGCACTTTCGAAAAAAGGCGTTCTTCCTCGTGAAATGAGGAGTACTGCCATCGAAAGAAAAGCCACCTTCTTTCGATTTAATTTCTGTAGTCTAGACACAGGTGAAGTTTTTTCGAAAAAAGGCTACTTTTTTCGAAAAAACCCTGCAGTCTAGACACAGCCCTAGTATTTAGCTCATGCAGCTTACTCGTGAAGTCCATTAACTGTCTTGTCTATGTTTGGGTGTTATCTTGGGTTAAATAATTTGAGTTATTTTACTCAAGAATATACCAATTTTCCTACTGAAAACTCCACCTTAATTGTTCATCTCCACCTTACCCATCATATTTATGTTTGAGAACCCTCCTTTCTAGCCTTTTCTCTTCCATGGATATTAGTCTTTATTTTTCATTAGTCCATTTTTCACACAAGCGCCCTCATCTTTTTTCCCATGTTAGTCCGTATGCATGGACAAGCTCCTGGTAAAAATTTGTACCCTTCAGATCTCTCCAGAAAACTTAACCTCTGCCATGTTGCCTACAAAATAATTGATAACTAGATAGCTTGTGTAATCAAAATGGTCTCACTGTTAATTTGTGCTGCTTTCCCATCTGCTTATTTTTCAGCCTGTTGTTTCTCATAATATAGATTGTAAGGAACTGCCATTTTGTTGTGGGTGTATAAAGCGCCTTCTTTAATGGGGGCCTGATTTTTATTGGGGCTTCTGGTCACTACAATAATACAATAATTATGTTTAGATTAATTTTCTTCTACTTTTCTCAGTTATTTAAGCAAATACTATAAATATCATCATGGTAGGGTAAAGATGAACCAGATGACAAATGCCATTCTTTCTTTTATTTTGAAAGTTATAAAATGAGGTGTTTAAAATTGGAACTGAATATTTTTGTTGTAAATGTTTTTTATAGACTTTTTAAAAACTTTTTTCAAAAGATATTAAAATGGAATTTTAAAACTTGGTTTTTGTAGCCTAAAGCTTCAATATGTTTTCCACACTAAAAGTTTCTGAAAACTGCAAAAGTTTGTACCCAATTATTCTTCAGCTCATATTAAAAAAGAATAGGTTGAGTTATTGTTTTAATTTAAAATGTTACCAGCATGTTCATAATGTCCCAGTGGAAGTTTTTTTTAAATGTGCTAGTTATTTTACATGTTAAGCACTAGTTTATTGAAAACCTTATGAAGATTAAGGGACAGTCTGATGGGAACGGAGATTTCTTATTTAATATCAGTTTTCCACAAAACACACTTGACAATACAAACTTTTGTCCTCATCAGTGTGGGGAAACCTGAAGATCTGAATGATAGTTAAATCTCCATTATATCAGAGTGCTGGTCTTCTCTAGAGAAATACAGAAAAAATAAGTCAGTTTCCTTTTGTGCAAACTAAAGATTATTTAATTTCCTTCTAATTGTTACATATTTATATTTGCTTTCTAGTGCGAAATGTTCTTGTGAAACCTGATGTAAAAGGTCTTGAAGATGAAAAGGAAGGACCATTACCAGTATCTCCTTTGTGAGTTAATCAAGTTAAGAAGGCTCTTGTTCTTATATGGTAGAAATGTAGCTGTGTTAGTCTGGTGCAGCTGAAACAAAGAGTGCTACACAGTCCTGTTTCTTGTTCTTATATAACATTTTTGCAGCTCTCTTCTTCAAGAGTAGTTCCATTTGAAGCCAGTGGGACTAATGAAGTAAGATGCTATTCAACATGAATAAGGAATTCAGAATCTGGCCTTGACTATACAAATTGTAAAGATCATGTTGCCCATAACTGAAATGTAGCCACCTCTAGAATGAAATGTGGCTTTTAATGGTAGAGAATAACACTACTCTACACTTTAGCTGCCTCATTCTGTAACCATTGAAGTTGATGGGAAAGCTTCCACTGACTTCAGGAAGGATCAAGCCCTAGGACAGGAAGTGAAGAATATCATACCCAGTTGAAACTGCAGAGAGATTTAGGTAGAATATTACTCTTTTTAAGTTGGAATTTGGCTCGGATGTCAAGGTTCATAATAGTACTCTTTTGAAAAGTGCAATGGGAACTTTAATGACCATTTATAGTCTGGAACTTGGTTTTGAATTTGAACTGAAAGATGGCACTTAGGGCAGCAGAATGCCTTGTCATATTTTGTTGGCATATTTAGAAGCACGCGAGCCATTTGCTGACTTACCAGCACTTGCATCTATCACCCAAATACCCAGTCTGACCCTTTTGAGGAAATAACAGATGTTGAACCTGTGGTAAGAGCAGTTGATTTGAAATTGAATATATTATCTCATGGAGGAGTGGGTAATCTATTTACATAACTTCCATTACATTATGTTGGAGATATGTGCATAATACGGCTGCATGCTTAAGTTCATATTAAAAAAAACACACACACTTTTATATCTAGAAAATATTTTATTGACTATTTTAAATATATTGTATTGTTTGCTCTTTCCACTTGTTACTTTTATTTTTTCAGAGGTCTGGATTTTTCCAGGCCTTGGCATAGCAGTTTTATACACGCAAGAAGTCAGATCCTCACAAATTTGCACATCCTTCATCCTACTCTGAAAAATTTACTGGATATTGGTTACACAACATTTTCCAAATTACTTCTAGTGGACTTATCAAATTTCAGGTAAAATATCTTTTGTTGAATTAATATTATAAATGTGGGCTATATGAGCAGTGTTTTTGTAGTCAATAAAGATTGACATTTATGAAACTGCAATTTATTTGTATTTGATATATGAATAATGAAATGATTATGTGTTATTTGTATTCTTCACGGTCCCATAAATAGGAAACATCACACTGTAAACATTTAACATAATTTTCCTAGTCTATACTATGCACAAAAAGTTCACCTACTTGTATATTACGAATAATGTCAGTATATTGGGAGTATGTTCTCCTACTAAATCTCTTAGGGCCAGTGCAGGAACAGTAGAGCTCAATGACAAAACTGTCATTGATTTCTGTGGACTAGGAAATGACATACCTGTAATAGGATTAATTCCCTGGGTTTTTTTTAACCTGAATAAATTGATACCTTCTCTACTAGCAAGTTTGTTAGCTTTAGGAAAATGTTGCCGGTCTTTGTATTTGATAGATACAGTTTTACCCTCCTTACGTGTGTTGCTGATCCTGTTCTCAGGATAAGTTCTTTAGGTTTTTGGGGGCTTTAAAATCTGACTGTAAGGAGGTCATTTAGAGTTCTCTTTTTTTTTTTTAAGGAGGAATAAACCACATATTTGATAGATACAGTATAGCACTAAGATCCTATTGCTGTACAGTTTTTATGTTATCTCATAGAAGTTAATTTTCAAATCAATCCTTAATTTTTCTTTGTCTGATAAACAGTTTGAAAGGACCAATTGATTGTGAATCACTGAAGAATGACGTTTCTTTAAACTGTACGAAAACAGAAGAGAAATTACTGAACACATGGTATCCAAGAGTTATAAATCTCTTCACCAGAAAGGAGGCATTAGAGGGAGTAAAGTCAGATAAAGTTGATTCTTTCTATAACTGTGTGGCTACACTTATGTCTAACCAGGTGAATATCTTTTTGTACCTTCGACAGTTAACTTTTTATATATAATTTGGTGATTTTTAAATAAGCCAGTTGAATATATCATGTTATTTTTAATTAAAGATCTTATATTTAACTATCTATTTCCTGGAATCCAGTTAGATTAGGAATATGTATTCTCAGATTTTTAAAATGTTTCTTTTGTAAAAGACCTAGGAATTATTAAATGTACCTATTTTCCCCAAAGCGAATGAAAATTTTGGATGTAAAACTCTTGAAAGAGACTCCATCACTTGAAACCTAATCAGTTAAAAAAGATATAAAATTGCTGAATTCCCCAGCCAGTCAGTTTTCATGGTTTCATGGGCAACTATATTGCCCATATTTCTTAAAAAAAATTCTCTCTCATGCTGCTGTTTTAAAACAAACACATACACGTGAAGAAGGGAAATTGACTCAGAACCTAGTCCTGCAAATACCTAGATATATTAATAATGTTCAGTGGGATTAAAGTTGCTCATGAGTAAGTGTGTTCAGGATGAAACCCTGAAAAAATTATAGAGAAAAAGTTGAAATGGACAATCTATAGAGTGCTTCCAAATGCACAAAGTTAGCAAACAAAATGAAAAATAATTATATTCTGTCTGTCATTTATAATGATGCTGGGTGTATTAGCAATATTAATTATATTATAGTAACAATAGCAGGTAAAAACATTTTAAAGCAGTAGTATTGCTTTTAGGGGTCTGATTTAATAGCTATTGTAGTCAGTGGAAGTACTCCTATTAATTTTATTGGGTTCAAGGCAAGGCTCAAGGTACCAAAATAAAATGGAAATTCTAATTTATTTAAACAATGGAAGGGATATCATTTTCCATGGTGTCATGTAATAAAGTAAATGTGTGGTATTGTCTAGTTGAAAGAGCTACTGAGAAGAACTGTTGAAGCTTATGTGAAGCTCTTTGATCCTGAAGACAGGAGATGGCTGCCATTGTTTAAGATGGAATTGACTTTTGACGATGAGAAAATGGAATTCTATCCAAGCTTTCAAGATCTGGAAGAAGCCATTCTGTTTATAGTGACCCGGATAGGACAGACTCTTCAGGTGCAGTTTAATCTTTATGTACTTCCAAAGACTGTATGTGTAATATTACAAAATATATGAAGAAGTTAATAAGTTAGGATCATATCCTTCCCTGGCCAGAAAAATATTTAGAAGCATCTGCTCTGCTGCAAGGTGTCTGCAGTATAGAGCATGGTTCCTTATGGCAGTCAGGATGCTGTATTCCAAGGTGTGTTTTGCTGTGCCTTGGACCAGGAGCAGGAGTAACTTAACTATCTGCCATCTAATGGTTAGTATTTCCTGCCAATGGCAATATGTACTCTAAACAGTCTGAAGAGGGACTCACAGACTACACACCAGTGAGAACATTGAGCAGCTTGACAAAGAGTTTGCATCTTTAAAGCCTAACAGTTCTTCTTTTAGTGATTGCACATCCATTCTACTGTAGGCTTGTGTGCACTTCTTGCACAGTCATTGAAGATTTTCTTGTCAGCAGAATGTTAGGGTGGCATGAATGCCATCGCCTCACACCACTGCGTGCAGATATAAAGCCACCCCTGAACCTCTCCTCTCAATTCCTTCATACCACTGTGGATGATTGTTGGAGCTGCTATCCTTGCTTTTGAAAGTCCTACCCTCTTTAGTGAGTATAGTACCCATTGTGTTAGTATGAGGTTAGTTTAGTTTGGAGATTTTGTACATAGTTTAGGTGAAAAAATAAGTTTAGGTTAATATTTAGTATCACGGAATCATCATTTTCTGTTTTGGTACCAGTACTGGATTCATGCCTTGTTTTCATGGCTTCAGAACCTGTCACTCAAGTAACAAGTCTGTGCCAGTGAGTGACGTGTATCCCAGATGCCTTCAGTGTCTGGGGGAGTGACAACTGTTACTTCTTCTTTGAGTAGTCCCTGTGGGTGCTCCACTCATGATGTCGGGCTTGTCCCAGCGCCGCAGCTTGGAGGCTTTGCATAGCTGTATTCAGCCGGGTTGCGCATGCATGGTGTGCAGCACGCCGTTCATGCCCTTTGATCTTTGTGCGCACCCGGCTCTCCACTCAGTTCTTCTCAGACTGGCCACGGATTCTCTCTTCATCCCTTCAGTTCTCTCTTCATCCCTTCAGTAGTTTCTCAGTCCCCTCAGGGGATCTGTAGTTAATTACTTGTAAATAGTTATCCTTTTTGTAGACTGTTCTTTTTTTTATCTACAAAAAACCCCCCAAACAAACAAAAAAACAACTTAACACTTCATTAAAGTCTGGCTTCTCTGCTTCCCTGTTGTCACTGATGGGGAGTCTAACAGACAAGGCTTTTCACAGGAGGAAAAGTTTAACCCAGTCATGCCTGGATCCCCAGGCTTCAAAAAGTGTGCCCTATGCAGTGAGCCCATGCCAGCCTCGGATGGACATTCAACATGTATACGCTGTTTAGGGGAAAACCATATTCTCCAAAAATGCGGCATTGCTCAAAAGTGACAGCCCACACCCGCTGTGACAGAGAAATGTGCCTCAATGTTGCTGCTGGACCCCGATAGGATGACTGCTGGACAACTTGGGGGGACCCAGAAGAGAAGGGTCTATTTCCTTGAACCGCTGGCAGATAAAAGGAAGAAAATCTCCTCTGCCAGATTACTCCCACCTCAGAGGACTGCGGGAGATAAGCCAAGGTCCTCTGGCTCTGTCCCACGACCCTCAGTACTTGGGTTTGGGACAAAAGCGAAGAAGGCTGCAGCATCCGAAAGAGCCTCTTTGGTGCCAACAAGCAGCCTCGGTGCCAACAAGCAGTGCCTGCGCTACAAAGATGCCAACACCTCTCTGCTCAACCCTGCAAGCGGTGCCGGAGCAACGGCCATCCGCACGGACAGCAATGGCACTGCAGGGAACTCTCCCGGAACTGGTAACACAACAAGCACCATTGTCGGTGCCACGCAGTAGTCCCGCAACACAAACAGCCCCAGCACCGGCGCAAACAGTGGTGCCACAACTTGCTCAAACACCAGCACTGGAGCAGGAGCTGGAGCCAGAGCCAGCACTGAGGCACTCAGACTCACCGGCAAAAGCTTCTGTTAAAACGCAGAGACAGGGCACTTCCCACTCCCCTTCTCCAAGACTTTCACCGGGTCCTTCTCCTTCTCTTCCTCCAATGTATCAATTGCCTCTGAACCATGCCTACTGGCACCACAGCCCAAGACAGCAGTTCTGCCACAGGCATTACTCCCCATATGGGCACCTGTGCTACAGCGACTACTACAGGCACCGATCCTACTCTCTACCATACAGACGGTCACCATGCTATCGCTATTCTCCGCGTGCCACCTATGAGAGGCGACATACCAGTTGTAGATCATCCAGGTGTTCATCGCCTCACCCATTGGATCAATATTACGATCATCACCATGATTCTCTGTACTAGTCACGTTCACACGTCCACCACCGTGCGCACCAACAACCTTCATGCGCCAACCCATCAACAGCAGGTCACACGCCACCATAGCAACACCATAGTCATCAGTTGACATCTCCAACACACAGCTCGGGTGCCACAACACAGCGATCGGACTTAGAGGACGGACAATTGTCAGAAGCGGAAGACCAGCAGTCTGAAAATCCAATTCCTGATTGCTTATCCTCTTCACCAGACGAGGCGTTTTTCCCAGTGGACACGTCTTCACTGGACGATTTTAAACAGTTCCAGGACCTCTTCAAGCAAGCGGCTCAGCTGGATTTCCTGGGACTAACAGAATTTCAAATGAAACAGCATTGATTGTTGAAAAATTTGCACCTAAGGCAGAGTGAAAAAGTTGCCATCCCAATAGATGAAGCCATTATGGAGGAGGCAGACATCATCTGGCAGACACCAGCTTCAGTGCCACCGACCTGCAGGAGAGCGGACAAGAAATATTTTGTTCTGTCCAAGAATCTTGAGTTCCTCTTTAACCACCCACAGCTGAACTCACTGGTGGTAGTCACAGCACAACAGTGGGCCAAAACACCGCAGGATAAGACAATACCAGATGTCAAAAAGCTAGACATATTCGGCGGGAAAGTATACTCTTTGGCAACCCTGCTCCTATGCATTTCTAATTATGCTGCCTTTGCCAAAATTACAACTTTGACAATTATGAAAAGATAGCGTAACTTCTTCAATACCTGCCAGAAAGCAAGCTTCCCGGACCTCTTAAAGTCTCTTGTGCAAGAGAGTTTTGTGGCGGCACGAGCGAGTTTGCAGATCTCACTGTATGTGGCGGACACAGCAGCCTGCACCACTGCAACTGCAATAGTGATGAGGCGTTCTTCTTGGGTTACTTCTGCAGCAGTCCCAAAGGAGCTTCACACAAAAGTGGAAGACCTCCCATTTGACAAAAACAAGTTTTCCGCAGAGAAGACGGATGAGATCCTCTGCTCCGGAAAAGATTCCTAGTCTACACTCCGCACCCTGGGGATATACCCCCTCCTTCGACGCAAAAGATACTATCCATAACAGAGGAGGTACGATTTCCCCTCTCAGAGACAACACCACCAGCAGCGACTGTAGACCAATTGTGTACAAGACAGCACCCGCAACGTAGGCGACCCCAACCATCCCATACACTCAATCAACAAAACTCCAAGCAGCAAGTTTGATGGTTTGGTCAAGGGCATGCAACAAGTCCTTACAGTGAAGACGGAACAGGTCACTCATCTTTTTCACCACCGACTTCAATCTTTTCAACATCAATGGGTGGCGATTACATTGGACCGCTGGGTATTACAACTCGTGGTATCTGAGCTCACCATTCCCTTCATCACCATACCACCCACTAATCCACCAACCCCATCCCTCTTCAGGGACCTATCTCATGAGACCCTGTTGAAGGAAGAGGCCCAGCATCTACTCTCCATAGGAGCTATAGAGGCTGTTCCGCCTCAGTTCAGAGGACGGGGGTTCTATTCATGGTATTTTCTCAGAGAAAAAAACTGGAGGATGGGAGCCTATCCTCAACCTCAGGAAGTTGAACAAGTACCTCCACTGTCAAAGATTCAAGATGGTGACCCTTTCCACGATAATACCATCACTAGAGAAGGACGATTGGTTTGCAGCCCTCGACTTGCAAGACGTGTATTTTCACATAGCGATACATCCAGTTCACAGACGTTTTCTCTGTTTCACCATTGGAGATGATCATTTCCAATACTGCATGCTATTGTTTGGACTTGCATCGGCTCCCAAGGTGTTTTCAAAAACCCTGGCAGTTGTAGCAGTTCACTTATGGCACAGAGATGTAATCGTATTCCTGTATCTAGATGACTGCCTTATAAAAGGCAAGTTTAGACAAGAGGTACTACACATGGTTACAGTAACCAGGCAAACATTTCTATCGCTTGGGCTCATAATCAACAAGCAGAAATCGTCTCCATATCCTACTCAGAGTATAAATTTCATAGGTGCACGTTTAGATTCCACCACGGCCAGTGCATACTTACCTCAAGAGAGTTTTCGGATTATACATGAGCTGGCCATGGTAGTCATCTATGCCCCTACAGTCACCATACTTATCTGTCTCCTCCTCATGGGGCATATGGCGGTCACCACCTTCATAGTTCAACATGGGAGACTTCACTTTCGCTGTCTGCAGCACTGGCTGGCATTGGTGTATACGCCAATGAAACACTATGCACAAGGTGATAAACCCAAACACTTTAGTTCGCAAATCCCTGAGCTGGTGGTTGAACCCCAAAAACCTACTAGCAGGGGTCCTATTCAAACCTATACAAACAGATGGCCAACAGCCATCAGCTCCGCTGACTACAGACACCTCCCTTTTGGGCTGGGGAGGTACTTGTTCAACTTCCTGAGGTTGAGTATAGGCTGCCATCCTCCAGCCTACACATCAATGGCATGTCTGTACAAGGCAGGTGGTCCACAGTGGAAGCCCTTTCCCATATCAACTTCCTGGAACGAAAAGCGGTATTCCTCACTTGCAAACATTTCCGTACGCACATTACTGGCACGACCGTCTGAGTTCTTATGGACAATATAGCAACTAAGTATTATATCAGTCGA